TTTGTTGAGTGAAGCAAGTACGTGGAGCTAAGTCGTTGACAATTTTAAGTTTCCAAGTAAATTTGCAAAATAAAGCTCTACAAATCATTCAAGTTTTATCTTGGCCAATTTCTTTTAGTCGGAGAGAATTTGTGAGTTTTGTTGCTTCTTAATTTTTCATTGTATCTTTGTTAATTTTACCTTAATATTCTTGTCTAGTTGTTTGCTCTTTTTGTTCATCTTGCATAATTCTTTGGATTTTGATTCTTTGATTCTTAATTCCATATATCTTATTTTCATTGTTATCTATTCTAGTTTGTTGGATCTTGAATATTAGGTTCTTGATTCTCAGTTTTCTTATTTCGTGAGTTCTACTTGTTTCTTACTTGAGTTTGATACTTTACAATAATTCCTATTTGAATTGTTACTTGTTTGCTTCATTAGCTTCTTGGTTGCAAACTCTTGGATCATCACACTATACTTGAGAGAGATTGTATCCTTGTGAGAGAGCATCCTTTTGAGCGTAAACACGAGCGAACCACGTCAATTGAGTGACACGTGAGGGAGTGAATTGTGAGGTCCACTTTTCTTTAATTGTTTTCTCTTTTGTAGCAATGTCAAACTTAGGAGATAGACCCACTAATGGAGATGTAGAAGGGATGGAACCACAAGAACAACTCCTTGCGAAAGTCATGCAAAATGTGGAGACCATGATCAATGAGAGGTTAGATAGGATGGAGCAAAGACTTCAAGCTAGGGATAGACCTCAAGGAAGAAGGCGGCCTGAAGAAGTTTTGGAAGAGGAAGAAGACTTAGAGCAAGAAGATGAAGATGAGGAGCCGGAGGTTGCAGTACCTAAAAGAGGAGAACGTCGAGGAGTGAAAGGAAAATGAGGTTTCCAGAATAGAAGGCAATAAGGGAGGAGAGAAGACAACCATGGAGATCGGGACTTTGGAAACATTAAGGTTAATTTCCCAAGTTCCATGTCACTTTCAACCCAGAAGATTATTTAGAATGGGAACAAGAAGTTGAGAATATATTTTATGGCAACAACCTCACAGAAGAGAAAAAGGTAACGATCTCTGTTACGCATTTTAAGAGTTATGCACAGACTTGGTGGGATAAGGTGTGTTCTAGGAGAAGGAGACGACAAGAAGTTCGAGTGGAAACTTGGTTGGAACTGAAGGAGCTTATGAGGAGGCGATTCATACCACCACACTTCTTGAGAGATTGTGCACAGAAGCTTCAAGCTCTTCGCCAAGGAAACAAGAGTGTTGAAGAATATTATAAAGAGATAGAAACATTGATGGAAAGATTAGACATTGATGAGAATGAGGAGAACACCATGGCACGATTTATGAATGGGTTAAACATAGAAGTGGTTGATCGTGTTGATTTGCAAATGTATGAGGATATGGAGGAGTTGGTGCACTTTTCGGTGAAAATTGAAAATCAAATTCAAAGGCGAAGTCGAGGTACGCTACTAAGAAACCTTTTTCAAACTCAACTTCGTCTTGGAAAAATGATGGCAAATCAACTGACTCCAAATTTAAAGTGGGTAGTGAAAAACCTAAAGATAAGGGGGAAACTTCATCCAAACCCAAACCTAAAACTGACACACCCACAGGTAGGAGTCGAGATCTTAAATGTTAGAAACGCCATTGGGTGGGACATATAAGTCGGGAAAGCCCTAATAAGAGAACCATGATCCTTAGAGAAGGAGAGATAGTAACAGATGTGAGTGAGGTAGATGAAAAAAGGGATGAGTCCATGAATGACCTAGGGAGTGAGGAAGAAGTGGAGGATACTACGTACTTATCCTTAGTCATAAGAAGGGCTCTCAGTACCCACATGAGGAAAGATAACTTGAAGGATCAAAGGGAGAACTTATTTCATACACGTTGCCTTGTGCAAACCATACCCTGTAATGTAGTGATTGCTAATGGGAGTTGTACGAATGTAGTAAGTTCTAGCTTGGTCTCACGACTGAGCCTAGATACTAAACCCCACCCACAACCTTATAAACTACAGTGGCTTAATGATTGTGGTGAACTCAGGGTGACTAAGCAGGTGAAAATTCCTTTTGCCATTGGAAGATACGAGGACGAGGTACTATGTGATGTGCTACTGATGCACGCAGGTGAAATGCTCCTTGATAGGCCTTGGCAGTTTGACAGGAGAGTTCATCATGATGGTTTTCTTAAGCGTTACACATTCACACACAATGGTAAGAAAATTGTACTTATTCCCCTATCCCCCAAAGAAGTACTTATTGATCAAGAAAATTAGAGAAAAGAAAGGTCGAGGTCGCAGCAAAAGCAAATGAGGGAAATAAAAAAAGAGAAAGGAAAATAAAAAGAGAGCTTGAGAGAAAATGAGAGCTTGAGAGAAAATGAGAGTTTGAGAGAAAAGCAAGGGCATAGCTCACGACCTAATGAGAAAAGAGAAAAAAATAATTAGCTGGAGTGCTAGAACTTGTGAGGTTATAAAAGCTATGTTTTCAAAACGAACCATACTCATGGTTATGTTTAAAGAAGCTAACTTACAAACCGAGGAGCTTGAATCCTCTTTGCCTAGTGTTTTTGTGTCTCTTTGCAGGAATTCAAAGGTGTATTTCCCGAGGAGTTGCCTAAGGAGTTACCACGTACTCAAATTCCAAATCGACCAGCATACCAGACAAATCCATAAGAGGCTAAAGAGATTCAAAGGTAAGTAGACGAGTTGCTTACCTAAGGGTACGTACGAGAAAGTTTGAATCCTTGTAGTGTCCCTGTCTTGCTGGTACCTAAAAAAGATGGGTCTTGGAGAATGTGCGTAGATTGTAGGGCTATAAACAAAATTAGCATTAAGTATAGACACCCTATTCCTAGGTTGGATGACATGCTTGATGAATTATATGGATGTAGCCTGTTTACAAAAATCGATTTAAAATCTGGGTACCATCATATTAGGATGAATGTGGGAGATGAATGGAAAACTACATTTAAAACTAAGCATGGATTATATGAATGGTTGGTTATGTCATTTGACTTGACCAATGCACCTAGTACTTTTATGCGACTTATAAACCATGTATTGCGTGACTTTTTAGGAGAGTTTGTTGTGGTTTATTTTGATGACATTCTAATATATTCTAGGACACTAGAGGATCATGTTTAGCATGTTAGATATGTTCTGATTGCACTTCGAAAAGAAAAACTTTATGCTAATCTTAAAAAGTGTAATTTTTGCATGGAAAGGATAAACTTCCGAGGATTTGTTATATCTAAACAGAGAGTGGAAGTTGAGACAGAGAAGGTTAAAGCCATTAGGGAGTGGCCCACACCTAAGAATGCTAGTGAAATTAGGAGCTTTCATGGACTAGTTGGTTTCTATAGGCAAGTCATTAGAGACTTTAGTTCCATACTTGCACCACTTAATGAGCTTATTAAGAAAAATATAAAATTTGAGTGGGGTAAAGCTCAAGACTGTGCATTCAATGAGTTGAAAGATAAATTATGTAATGCACCTTTACTTGCATTACCTAACTTTGAACTAACGTTTCAAATTGAGTGTGATGCAAGTGGAATAGGGATTGGTGTTGTTTTAATGCAGAACCAAAGGCCATTGATGTACTTTAGCGAAAAGTTGAGTGGAGCAACTCTGAAGTACTCTACATACGACAAAGAACTTTATGTCTTAGTGAGAGCACTGCAAACGTGGCAGCACTATTTGTGGCCAAAGGAATTTGTTACACACTGACTACCAAAGCTTACAGCATTTGAAGGGCCAACAAAAGCTAAATAAAAGGTATGCCAACTGGTTGAAGTTCATAGAAACTTTTCCCTACGTGATACGGTAAGAAGGGTAAGGAAAATGTGGTAGCCGATGCACTATCTCGAGGTATGTTTTACTGAACTCCCTTCAAACTAAATTGCTTGGCTTTGAACATATAAAGACCTTGTATTCTCAGGACATTCATTTTGCACCTATTGTTGAATCTCTTCTGCAAAAACGTGTGGTGAATGATTATATGTTGTTTGATGGTTTCTTGTATAGAAAGGATAAACTTTGCATTCCGACTTGTTCCATTCATGAGTTGCTAGTTAAAGAAGCTCATGAAGGAGGTTTAATGGGGCATTTTGGGGTAGCAAAAACATATGACATGTTAACTTAACACTTCTATTGGCCTAAAATGAGACATGACATACATAAGGAGTGTGAGAGATGCATTGCATGCAAGGAAGCGAAGTCTAGGTCAAAACCACATGGATTTTATTTGCCTTTACCAACTCCTAGCGGACCATGGTTAGATATTTCAATGGATTTTGTACTTGGCTTGCCACAATCTAAAAAAGGAAAGGATAGCATATTCGTAGTAGTTGACAGGTTTAGCAAGATGGCACATTTCATTTCATGTAATAAAACTAATGATGCTAAACATGTGGCTGACTTGTTTTTCAAAGATGTAGTTAAATTACATGGCATTCCTAGAAGTAATGTTAGTGCTAGGGATGTTAAGTTTCTAAGTTACTTTTGGAGAATACTGTGGGGAAAACTAGGCACTAAATTAGTTTACTCCACTACATGTCATCCTCAAACTGATGGACAAACTGAGGTAGTTAATAGAACAATAGTGACAATGATTAGGGCTAAAATTGATAGAAACATCAAAATTTGGGATGATTGTTTACCATTCATTGAATTCGCATATAATAGGGTTGTCCATAGTGTCACTAGATGTACTCCCTTTGAGATTGTTTATGGATTTAATCCTTTATCACCGCTTGATTTATTACCTTTGCCTTCTAACGAGGTTGTGAATTTTCAAGCTGACAAAAAGGCAACAGCCATTCGGGAGCTACATAAAGAGGTTAAGGAAAGGATTGAGAAACAAAACACTAAAGTAGCAGCGAGAGTCAATCAACACCGGAAGGCTATTGTATTCAAAGAGGGAGATTGGGTCTGGGTTCACTATCGAAAGGAACGATTCCCACATCAGCGAGAATCTAAGTTAAACTCAAGGGGAGATGGACATTTCCAAATGTCGAAGAAAATCAATGACAATGCCTATCAAATTGACCTCCAAGGTAAGTATGGTGTGAGTGCTACTTTTAATGTGTCTGACTTGACTCCTTTTGATGTAGGTGACGATTTTGATTCGAGGACGAATCCTTCAAAAGGGGGGAGAAGATGATATGAAACAAAATGCATTAGCCTTGCTGCCAGGACCAATCACTTGTTCAAGTGCCAAACAGTTACAGCTAGCATTTGATTCTCACATTCAAGCAGTAGTGAGCTCCACTAATGGACATCAAGTAGATAAAGATGGGGAAAAACTTTATTCATGGTGCCAAATGAATATACGAGACGAAGATGACGCCAAATGAAGACATGAGAAGAAGATGACGGAACTTTGTATTAACAAAGTTATTATTTATTTATTTATTATTATTATTTTTTAAATGGTTATCTATCTCATTTTTAGGCCTTTTATATTTTTTTAACACAATGATGTGGGCATTGAATTTATCAATTTTTAGGTGTTTTTTTTTTAAAAATTAACTATGTCACATTTAATTGGGGTAGTATAGTTTTTTAGCTTCCTTTGAAATTAGGTATTTAATCTTGTGAACAGAACGATCAATTTTGGACCGAATGAATTTGGAGTGTTTTATCGTGATGACTTAGGATTCATCAACTTTGCAATTCTTGATCTAGGTTGCAAACCCGGAACATTCAAGCTAGGTTTGATCAACTTTCTTGTGGAGTGTTCAACCTTAAGTAGAGAACCAGTTCTCCTTACCTCTTGGTCTTCGATCATCAAGGTAATCCTCGTCTAATCTTGCCTTGGGATTGTGCTATTTGATCTGGTTTTTTTTTTAAATTGACAGTTAGGGGTCCTCCTTAGGTGGAAGGGTTTTTATCTGCAATTTTCTAGGTTTCCAAATCATCAGGTCACACGTTTCATCTCGAAAAGTCATCTAAAACACCTCTGGATATTCGATTATCATGCTAGAACAAAAATGGCGAGTTTTGCAATATTTGTTTAAGGGTTCATGTTGTGCCACTGGTTGAATTTAGTTTTGTTAAAATTAATGAGTTTGGAAAGATTTTAATGTTTTCCTCTCATTAAAATTCGTGGTAAATGGTAGCGGAAGTTGAACAAAATGTTAAAATGGTAACACTAACCTTAATCTAGGGGTTTTTTTTCTCTCTATTTTTGACATTTTTCCTCATAGGATATGAAAGTTCTATTGTACATATAGATTTTGACTTTTCTTAATTTCTTAATTTAGTGGTTGGGGTTAGATTAGATATATACTTTCGTACTTTTTTCTTTTTAACATTTTCTTGCTAGTTGAATTTTGAATATATTTGATTCAATAAAAAGATAAACTCTATGTTATTTATTAATAAAGATACCTGTAGTGATTCCATACACTATATAAACATATTCTCCCTAATACAATCACTGTTCTAGAATTTCAATAATTAATTTCTCAAAGTTGTGGTGAGAAGAGCCACCTGAATTATGCGATTCCTCCGCTTTACTTTTCAACTCCATAACTTTCCTCTTCATATCTTCACCCTTCTTTCCTCCCATCAACTCTCCAATACAACTCTCAACTTCATCTCTCTTCACATCACTCTCTAGTTCCATCGCAACTCCCCACTCAACGCAACAATATCGACATGTCGTTTGTTGATCCCCAAAATATGGCCACGATATCATCGGCACTCCAGCACATATGCTCTCCATGGTCGAGTTCCATCCACCATGCGTCAAGAAAACCCCTATCGACGGGTGTTTCAACACCTCTTCTTGAGCACACCAACTCGCTATCATTCCCCTCGCTTTAGTTCTTTCGAGAAATTCAAATGGCAAAATCCCCGACTCGCTTCGAACAAGATCAGGCCTTATGATCCACAAGAATGGCCTTCCGCTATTTGCAAGTCCCCAAGCAAGCTCGACGAGGCACCGAGGTGTCACCACAGCCAAACTCCCAAAATTTACATAAATCACTGAATTGGGTTCTCTCAAATTGAGCCATTCAATGCACTCACATGTCCGTTCTTCCCAAATATTTGTAGCTATTGCATCAAGGCTATCGTCTTTGATTTTTCTTGCAAATAAGTGGAGTGGGCCAATGGTGTAAATGGGGGGAAGCATGCAAGAAAGAGCATCCAAAACTTTTTGATCCAGTGCCTCAAATGTGTTTAGTATAATTGCTGAAGCTTTTTGAGTTCTTTCTGTTTCTTGAATGAAGAAGTTGAGCAAGATGTCGTTTGGATCTGTTGTTCTGATGAAACTCGGTAGATCTTTGAGTCGTATCTTATCCATCCCCAGAATCCAATCTATTGTGGTTTCGAGCTGCCCGTCTACTAAATAGCTCTCATCTGAAAAAACCAATAACAAAAATCTATATTAAAACATCATTCTGTTGGAAAATTAAAACATTGTAATTTATGATTAATCTAAATAAAAGGCATAAAATTCAAGAACAATCAAGATCTAAGCAAGAAAACTAAAATCTATAAAGAGATCAAATATGGGTAATATATGAACAAGAGGCTCAAAGTAGCCTAGTGTATCGGGACCATAACCATATATTTATATATTAATCCTAAGTTTCCCATAATTCTCTAAGATTAATGGATTGGTTTCTATCCAGCTGACTACACCACTGAAATCAAGACCACTCAATATACCCAAATATAATTGCTCATTTTGTTACTCATATATGAACTAGTTATTATTGTTCCAAAACATAAACAAAAATATTATTTTATCATACTTGAATTCATCGATGTTGAGGTCATGCAATTTATTTTTCTTTATTAAAAACGAAAAATTGAAACAAAAAATAGAAACGTTTCCAAATAAATCTTAAAATATTATCAAACGGCCCTTCATTAATACCTTTAAATGGAGTGGTCCCTCGCTCAACAAGCTCACCGAAGTGCATAAATCCTAGCAAACTGCAAGGGCTAATAGGCCACAAGTGTACAACTGGAACGTTAAATTCAGCACCAGCTTGAATAGAGAACGACATACAACCATCAGCAACTATACAGCTAATCGGCGGGATGCCATTGACTCGAGACGAAGCATCATCCAACTGCGAAAGCATACTACAAAAAGGAGCTAAGAAATACTCAGAAACCGAGATGCAGAGTGAGGGTATGTCGAGCGGGTCGTCGATGTCGTTGTCACAACTCTCCGTCGGGCCATCGGGAATGGTTCGAAACTGAAAGTCGGGCAAGCCGTCGAGAGAATTTGGCCCTCTAGACCTAATTATACGCCTGTGATTGTACTGTGTGTTGACAAAAGTAATATGGAAACCTCTCTGGTGAAGAAGCTTTGCTACGCTGAACATTGCGTTTATATGGCTTTGTCCTGGAAGAGGGATGCACACAGCATGAGGTTTTGGACTCATATTTTTTCACTCATTTGGGAAAAAAGATCCAACTCTTATGAAAATTTATAGCAAAAGCTGTTGGGAATGACAATGATTAAAGAAAGAAAAATAAGATTGCTAAAAAAAAAAAGAGAAAAATGAGAGATATATCTTATAAGCTTTTGAAATTATTATTAAACGTTTTAATTAATTATCCACGTTGATAAGTTAATCATCCATTCATCTTATTAATGTTTTATTAATTAATTTCATTAAAATGTTTGGATTAATTTCCTTTTAAAGTTGTTGTTCTCCTTTCTCATGGATTCAATAAAAAAGGTTTTTCTTCCTCAATTTTTTTCTAAAGGATGTTTTTCTCCTGGTTGGTTTTTCTTTTTGTGCTGTTTTCTTTTTTAAGAAATTCTAAACTCAAAATTGTGTTAAGTATAGGATATAGTATCATAGTTGTACCGAAATTACTTTTAGGATAGTGGTTCTTAATAGTCCAACGACTTTCTTTTCATCCAAATCTCCTCGAGTTCTCACAAAAGTTTGGTGGTTTTTTTTTTTTTTCCTTTTGAAATTTGTAATGATAATTAAATTATGTTCATGTCTGAAACAAGCCAAAAAAATGGGATGAACTCAACTTTTAATTTTCTGCTTGAAACTTTGTATCTCCGGAAAGTCTAGTAGAATGATGGTTGGAAATTTAATTCGGACTTGACAACTCAATAAAAATGGAAAATTTTGGTATGCGTGTTAAAATTGTATACTGACAATTCCATTATGATTTGGATTTGATTGACACATGCGGTTACAAATATCACGCGTATTATTAAAGCCAACATAAGTAATTGACATATATCTCTAATCAAGATGTTGTGAGTTCGATTCCCACTCAATATATATTTGGATGATTATGTCCTCTTTTTCAACAACTCTTTATTTATTCTTGATAGTGTGCCCGTTTCACGACATTTTTTTTAACTTTTGGTTTTTCTATTTTTTTTCTTTTGAAAAATTAAAATCATATATGTTTGATAATTGTATTTTTATTTTTTTGCTTTTCAAAAGTAGAAAATCAAACGTGTTTGATAATGATTTTTTGGTTTGGGTTATTTAAAAAGTTAGAGAGGTATGCTAGAGAGAGAAATGTATGCAAAGTAGAGATGAAGGAGAGATATGAATCGGGAATGGCCTCCCATCCTCATTTTGGCGAAAAGTTCAGAGAAAGAGAGTAAAATTGAGAGCAAAAGACATGTTAAGGAACCAAAAATTGTAGTTGAGGAAAAAAAATTAGACAAAAGGTTCTAGATATATTTGTTAGAGAAAAATAAATTTAAAAAAAGAAAATTTTTGAAAGAGAAAAAATTTAGATGGAGAAAAGTTTAGATATATTTGCTAGAAAAAAATAGATTAGAAAGAGAGAAAAGTTAAAAAAGATAAAATTGGAAAAAATAAAAATATTGGTGAAATATTAAATTTTTAAAAAGAAAAAAATAAAGTGATATGTTAAAATAAAAAGAAAGAATTAAAAATATATATAAAGATCGAAGATTTTTTAAGAAAGAAATAAATAATAATAAATATGATGGAGATGAAAATTTGAGAGAGAAATATAAATTTATTAGAGAGAGAAATTCAGGTGGAAAAATGTTTTAGGGTGAAAAAGTATTTCTTATAGAGAAATATGTCAAAAGGAAAGAAAAGGTGCAGCGCTAGAAAAAAAATGAAATTCTGAACTACAGAAATCTATTTTTAAAAACTACTCTTTTTCTATAATTTACATAGAATTCCAAAAACCTTTTTTTGAAAAACAAAAAATATATATATAATTGAATTGGGTTATCAGATGAGGATGTTTTTCTGAACTTTTATTTAAAAATAAAGAGACTAAATAAAAGTTAATAATAGGCTTTAATCAAATGAAATCAGGACAAAACTTTAAAAATATCGAAGGTAAATTAAAATGAAAGTTTTTTTTAGTACAAATTAAGGTTAAAGTAGCATCAGGATTAAAAAAAAAAGGTTAAAGTAGAGTGATTAAAATTATATCTTAATATATCAAATATCAATGATATATTTTTTTTTTTTAGTATTACAATTCAAACTTAAAGACAAAGATTTAAACTTAAAAAAAATTATTGATGTATTAAGTTAATCTATACTCAATTTTACACTTATTTATTTGTCAATCTAAATGAGTTTAATGATGTGTGGTCCCATCATCGTTGGATTAAAAAAAACGAAAAGAAAATACACCTATTTATTTTGTAGTAGTTATATTAAGATGGAAACAATAAGCAAGGGATACATTTATAATTTTAGAATAAGAAAGAGAGTAAATAGTCAAAAAAACAAAACATTTTTCAGGAAAATCATGTTTAAGATCAATTTTCCATTTCAAATAATTGAACTCCAACATGTAATTGAATAAAATAAGCTTCTTTTTTTTTAATTCGACAGTTGTTTTTTTTTCTTTTTTAAATACAAAATGTGGGGTGGGTGTTTATGCAAGAAATTGCACAACTTCGGTTTAGCTTGAACCCGGTCCCTGTTCCGACCTGAAATTCTAAGGGAAGACCTGCACAAGAGGGCAAAATCTCCAACGCTCAAGTTAGTAAGTGGCTCGGACTCAATATTAAGTTCGAGGAGAAATTCGATATCTGATGCTGAAATGAGACCCTCTATTTATAGGTTTAGGTTCCGACAGGGGTTGCGACAAGCGGTTACCTTGGTCAGATTTGAGATCGATCGTGTCGCGTTCCAGCCGATCAAGCTCGGACACTTTCCCGAAAATGACAGGTTGATCCTTACTCGGAAATGGTGCGTCTTTCATCTCGGGAGGTTCCGAGATGAAGCTCCATAAGTGTTCTTTCGAACCTAGCTTTAGTGGCGAATCTCCGTCCTCCACGTGGCAATAGGATTCTTCATCCCCAAACAGTGGGGATCAAACTCACAACCTCTTAGTTTGAGATATATGACAATTACCGTTGAGCTATACTCATTTTAATTCAACAATCGTTCAATTGTGAGACGATGAATTCAACTACAGATTGGGATATATTTTATCTACTCTTTTTTTATATATAATATAAAAATACCTAATCTACTTTAACTGTGTTCGAATGATAAATATATTAAAAATATATAAGATTCTTTAATAATATCCTAATGCTTTGTGTAAATCAAATTTGTGAAGTGAAGGTTCAACTTTTCTCATGGTAACTTGAAAGCATTAATTATTGAGTTTTTGTCTTTTTGAATGATGAATAAAGGAGTGGGTTTGTTTGCACACGACAAATCCTCTTTATTTCCATATACTATAGTATTTGTTGCCATCTATCAAAGATTGAAGGTCTTTGTAGAAAAATAAAAGTTTGGCACTCTATTATAATCCTATTGTTAGCACTCTATTATATTCCTCCAATCCATGTCAAATACGGATTGTATTGTCTATCTACATCTCTAATATATATATATATATATATATGTATAAAAGTGTGCATGTGGAAGAAATTTTTTGACGAAATTATCCTTCATTTTTTATTAAATACCATATATACACTTTTGTTCTTTGGTGTGATAGAGTTGTTTGCCCAAATTTTGAAACTCGCTATTTTTTATTTTTTGTTTTTTTAAGACTTATATTGATGCTATTTAGAAGAAATAAATATGTTTAATTTGTTTGTTTTTTAAATTCTATTTGGACTTCCTTGATTTTGCGTTTAAATATTAGAATGAGAAAATTTTTCTTATCCTTATTCAATAGTATCTAGTTATAAAATAAAATATTAAAAATGGTAGAATCTCAAAATTTTGCAACCTCTCCCTGGCTTACAACTATAAAATAAGTCCCTTCCACTTATTTTTAACAACAATTCGACGTATATTTATCTTTCTTCTCTTCTACTTTTTTTTTATTGATTTTACTTTTCTCTTTTACAGGTTTTTTATTTTTAAGTTTTATTAATAGTGCGGTAGATCACATTCCAATTTTCTAGAGCACTGTTGTTTAACGATTTTGAACGACATTGATGAAAGGTAAATATAATTTATTATTGAATATCATTCATCATATTTATATATTATTAAAAAAATTATTCAAGAATTTTTTTAGACAATATTAATAATCTTGTTTTTTTTTGGTAAAAATGACATTAATTTTTTTTAATAATTTAAATAAGGGCAAAGGAAAATGATGCTCACATAAATATTGATATATTAAGTAGTTGATGTTTATTAAAAACATACTTATTTTGAGCAATAGAGTAATAAGGTTTTTAAATTTCTTAACCTTCATTTACTTTAACTTATATATGCATTTTTATTTAACTAATTTCATATGCATTTTTATTTAACTAATTGAATATTAATAATTAGCCAAAAACGAACAGCTAATAATTGACGTATATCTCCCACCAAAAGATTGTGAGTTCAATCCTCACCCCATAAAGATTGTCTTTATTAAATTAATTTTTTAATAAAATCCTCCCACCCCCGTAAACATAATGTCAAATTTGTCTTTATTAATTAATTCTTAATTAAAATCCTCCCACCTTCTCACGTGGAGTTCTTCTTCTGTATTTAAGGGATTTTACTTTTCGGGTCACTTTTAATACTTTATTTAAATTTCTTTATTAATACATTGGTTGAGTAGAAACATAATAATCCATCCAAATAAAACTTTTAATATTCATTTTCATTTCATGCACATTTAATTTTCTCCCTAAAGAATACACATTTAATTTTAAATTAAATAAATCTCTCCATATTGTACCTTCAAAATATTCACTTATGATTTTTCACTTTTAATAATTAAATAAATTTTAAAATAACAATGCATAAATATACCTTGAAGGTAATAATTGAAGTACATTCACGAAATTAACAGGAAAAGAATGAAAACATTTTGAATATAACATTTTTATCAATTTATTCCTAAAAATTAATTTTAAAATTTGTAAAGTAACTATAATTAATAATAGAATTTTTAAAAGCTATAGTATTTTAACAGTTAAATAATGTTTAAAGAAATAAAAATATGAAAATATATTCGGACATTTTTTTTAATAAT